CGGGGTCGCCGCCGCTTAGGGTGGGGAGCGGGCGGCCTCCCACGCCGCGCGCAGTGCTGCCCTCCGGGTCAGTACTTCCACCTGGGGTGGGGCGGCGACCCCGGGGAAGGGGACAGCACGAAAAGTGGGTTAGGCGGGGGCGCCCCAGAGCCCAGGATTTACTGTGGTCCCCCCTCTCCCCGCCCCCCTCCCGGGACGTGCGTGGCCCGCGAGCACATCTACAAAAACAAAACCACTTATCTCTTCCTGGAGAAAGTCGCCTCCAAAGATTCTCTCTCTCTTTCTCTCTCTTCTTCCAAGGGCTGGGACACACAGTCTTAGCTAGGAACTTTGATTTCTCTTCCCCAAACGAATTTGAGTCTTCTGCCCCCTGGCCTTTGCTGAGGGTCCATTCAGACAGGGCTGGAAGCCAGAGTCTTCAGATTCCTTTTTGGGTTGGGAACCTTGTAAGTTTTTGCTGAGCTCCGAAATTGGCATTCTTTCTCCCTTGCAAACTTACACTTTTCAGGCAAGCCATTAATATAATCAAAAGTGTAACTCCAGAGATAGTGGATTCCCGGAGCGGGGGAAGGACCGAGACCTCATGTGGCCTCGTCTACTCTTCATTTTGTCCTCTCTTAACGGACATGAATGGCTTTCTTCCCCTCCTTGACTTTTCCTCCCCCTTTTATTTTTGAAAGCAAGACTAATCAGTACTGAAAAGATGACTTTTTTAAGAACATTTTGTAATCTGTTACTGAATGAAAATATTTTCAGTTTTAGGTAAAAGACACAGATTTTTTTTTTTCACCCCAAAGCGCATACTGTACCGTTTTTGTAACTTTTTCTACTTGAAGTCTCCATGTTCTTTTACTTCAGGGCAGTGAATATTTGCTACTGATAATGGCTCCAATTGGTATTATATAGATATTCTGCTTTTCTGTTTTTCCCAGGAATTGGATGAAGTAATTGATCACTAATGAACTACAGTGCTGGTGAGATGTGCAAGGTGAGACTGAAGTTAAAAACTATGCCCTGTTTTCCCTTTTTATTGCAACAAACTCCAGGGTAAGGCCCAAGCGACTTTCCAAGTAGATCAGTCAGCCAATTGGGATACAGGCAGGGCTAGCTAGAGTTAGCAAAGTTGTACCATCCTTTTTAGTGGCTCCAACTTATTTACACATAGTGGAGCGTGTCTACAGCCAAATGTTATTTGTGGCTATCCTTGATCAGTGTCTTCTCCAGGAGTAATTATAGTTTGCCTCTTCAAATTTCCTTGTGTAACTTTAATTGGAAGGTCTGGATTTTATCTGTTTTGATGTCCATTACTTATTCTGCACTGAGTTTAAGCAATTGAGTAGATAAAGTTCACACACCTACAGTTTGTGGGACTTTTGTGAAGTCCATTTCCATTGGATAATCGTTTTCAGCAAGCAAATCACTTCTGCTATTATTACTTTCTTATTTAGCTTTTTTATTTTGTGGTGCTGGTATGTATGAGACCTATGGGTTCACACATGCTAGACAAGTGCAGAATGACTGAGCTACATCCCCAACCCCTTTTATTCTCTAAAAAAAAAAAAAAAAAAAAAAA